TAAAGCTTCCACAAAATGAATTATTATACCTTTATTTCAAAAAAAAATTTTGCAAAGGTACTGTGACCCCTTAAGTTATTCTATTAGACTTGTGTAAGGTTTCGAAGAAAGGAAAAGGGGTAAAATCAAAACTTAGGGATCGAATAAATTCACTACGTAATAATTCATCAGAATGTTCAGAACAGTCAAGATCCTTTATTATAGTTTTTCTTGTATTCCATGGTGTGAAAGGTTTGGTAAAATATACACACACTATTCTTTAATATTGTTCACAGTTACTCTACAAGTTTCTATAATTTCCACTAGATACATAAACGTTTTACCAAGCAAGATCTTGAAAAAATGCTATCTTGAGTTATTAAAAATGTGGATTGTCATTATAGAGCATAAGATCCAAACTCTATTTACTGAGAAATAAGTAAAATAGCTTTAAACTGGGTATTGATAAAAAAGTAGACCATTGTCGCTTAAGGGGATTTAAAACAATAAGGCGAATATTAATATTAATATAAAAATTAATAAGACGAAAACAAAAGTTGAAAATTTTAACTTTGTCAGAAAAAAAGGGCGGGATTAATCTGGTATTAAAACTTAACTTTTCCGTTAGTTGCTTAGTCAATTATGTCACATGTTTCTGAGGCTTTTAATAATTTGGCGAAAAAATGCTCATTGTCCTGCTTTCGCATAATATTATACTTTGTTCATTGATTAATTCTTTTNTGGCGAGTATCGCACAAAATTGTTAAGATTGCAAGCACTAAGAAAATTGCAAGCACTAAGAAAAAAAAATTCTGAAAATATGTTAAATAAAAGAGTCTTAGGGATTTAAATTTTTCTTTTTAAATTTTTAAAAAATCAAACAGTTTAATTATTTTTTGAAGATATATTATTGATTATAATTTAAATGAGCATGTAAAGCTTCCACAAAATGAATTATTATACCTTTATTTTAAAAAAAATTTTGCAAACGTACTGTGACCCCTTAAGTTATTCTATTAGACTCGTGTAAGGTTTCGAAGAAAGGCAAAGGGGTAATATCAAAACTTAAGGATTGAATAAATTCACTACGTAATAATTTATCAGAATGTTCAGAATAGTCAAGATCCTTTATTATAGTTTTTCTTGTATTCTATGGTGTGAAAGATTTGGGGAAATATACATACACTATTCTTTAATATTGTTTACAGTTAGTTACACTACAAATTTCTATAATTTCCACTAGATACAGAAACGTTTTACCAAACAAGATCTTAAAAAAATGCTATCCTGTCCTGAGCTATTTAAAATGTGGCTTATCATTATCTAGCATAAGATCCAAATTCTATTTACTGAGAAATAAATAAAATAGCTTTAAGCTGGTATTGATAAAAAAGTAGACCATTGTCGCTTAAGGGGATTTAAAACAATGAGGCGAATATTAATATTAATATAAAAATTAATAAGATGAAGACAAAAATTGAAAAAAAAAATTTTGGTTGAAAAAAAAGGGAGGGATTAATCTGGTATTAAAACTTAACTTTTCCGTTAGTTGCTTAGTCAATTATGTCACATGTTTCTGAGGCTTTTAATAATTTGGCGAAAAATGTCGTGAAACCACATTTTTCAATATTTGAACGCTATCCCTAAATGACAACTAAAGCTCATTGTCCTGCTTTCGCATAATATTATACTTTGTTCATTGATTAATTCTTTTAATACTTTTTTTCTCTGTGACTCTCTATGCTCTTCAATCAATAGATCTTTCTTTTTGTTCTTTAAAACTGTTTTTTTTTAACCTTTTATGTGCTAGTCATTTTAATGATTATGAAATAAACGTTGAAGAGCTTATATTATGTTAAATAATTTTTTGTTTTACGAAGCAGCAACTTTACCTTTATGCTTACCTTTTTTTATTTCTTATTTCCTATTAAGTCTTAGTCTCTCACACTTTTATGTTCACCAGTCTAAAATTTTATACTTTCCAGCTTTGGTCGCATACTTATTTACTAGTCTTATTCTCATGCTTTCATTCCTGGCAGTCATAGTTTGGCTGGTATAGCCTAGCTAGTAAGGCGTTGAGCTCATGTTCGAGAGGTAGTGAGTTCGATCTCCGTCGACCGAAGACTCCCCGTGTACAAAATAGTAACCGGCGCACGCTAAATCTGTCGAGGTCACGATGTCCTCCAAATTCCCATAACAAATCAATACCTCTGGGGGGGTTACTGGATCGGAGATTGATCATGCTCTGGTTCAGGTCTAAATTACGATCTGCGTATGGATGTTTGTTGTGTAAATGTGTCCTGTAAAACGGGATATAATCTATCTGTGTTTCCTCCGGATCATCGTCAAGGATTTTTCCCAGACCATCGCCTATAAGCCCATTGTGCAGCTCTAGTGAGAAGTAAATAAAAAGGTACCTTACAGTACCAGTTTTAGTTTATCACTTTTATGCTGAAATGCTATCCTTTGTTCGATAGCTGTCTTCTTGTGATAAATACAAATGTTTCACGGCTCCCTAGTTTTGTTCTGACATAGGTTTCTCAGTTAGTTGTCTTGGTTTTGTTCTGACGCTCCCTAGTTTTGTTCTGACGTAGGTTTCTCAGTTAGCTGTCTTAGTTTTGTTCTGACGTAGGTTTCTCAGTTAGTTGTCTTAGTTTTGTTCTGACATAGGTTTCTCAGTTAGTTGTCTTAGTTTTGCTCTTACATAGGTTTCTCAGTTAGTTGTCTTAGTTTCGTTCTTACTCTGGTTTCTCAGATAGGTTTTGATACCATAAGATTTTGTTACTTAGAATACATCCTAACTATTCCTGCTATGAACATTAAAGCAGTTGTACCATTAAATTGCACATTCAATCAATCAACTCAAACACACTTACTAAATACATGTGTTCGATGAGAATAAAAATTAAGATAATTAAAGTTTGCTAAAAAGATATTTTAAGTTAAAATTTTGCTTAGAAACTTTATTGTAATCTACTATGGGGGTAATTTCATTCAAAAGTATTTGGAAATATTATCACATTTACATAATAAACATTCTTAGCATTTAAGTTTTTTTTAAAAAATAATTGAACAATTATTATGATACGCTAAAAAAACTACAAAATAAAATAGTGTCATTCTGATAAAAGAGGAGGGAGTTGGTATTGAGGAATCCATTCTCTTTTCTTATCTATCTTCTTCATTGTTTCGATAATAGAAAAAACCATAAAGATTAATAAGACAATTCAATCTTTTTGTATTGTTACAAATTCATTATTTTGTTCTTTCCCAAATTTTGAAATAATATGCGGAACATAATATACATTCTTTTATCTCCTTCAGCCTTGAAATATGAATTGAGTAGATAAAAATTTATGACTGGTTAGAAACACTGCATTCTATATATCGTTACATATAAAATCTTACAGCACCTGAACCATGGTGGCTGAGGGTATAGAGCTTTCACTTTCCAATGAGGTGAACCGGGTTCGAATCCCAGCGATAGCGAATTCCTCACCCGCCTTGCACCACCACAGTGTTAAGATAAAATATTCTCAGTGGTAGACTGATCATGGATTGCCGTCAGGTAACCGTGGGAGGTTATCTCTTCATGTAACACAAATGCTGGTTAGTTCCATCAAAAAGTTCTCCATGAGGGCAACATTTCTCTAAATACTTGATCCAGGAGTTTCTTTGTCTTCTGGATTGGATTTAAAATTACTAGGCTGGGGAGTTGAATATTAGTGGTCGAAAACCCAAAATTGAGTCGGTTGTTCATCGACGGTTATAAAATAAATTAAAGCATCTATCAATGTTCCTCATTTTTAGTGTCGAATTCTGCCGAATCGCCATAAAAAAAAACTATAAAAATGGAGAATTTAGAGAGTAATGTAATGATGTGTTCTAATTGTAGGACGCTAGGGTCGAAAGAGTTTCAAAAAAGTTTAAAATTTTGAGTTGAATTTAGCAATAATTTAATTGACATTTTTTATGGAGTCACCGAAACTAATTTTTGGCTTAATATATAGTTACAATAATTCATATTGATTTTTGTTAATCAATTTATGTTTCAGTTACCTTTTTTGCGTTATTTAAAATGTACACTGCCTCATGTGAAGCTTTTTGATTTACTTCAGTAAATCAAAAAAGTCAGTTTAAAAAAATTATCCAGTTTAAAGAAATTAATCCAATCCAGTTTAAAAAAATTATATTCAGTAAACACTGAATATATTTTTTTTTAAATGTGCATTTAATAATAAATATTGATTTACCATTCCAAGCTCTTTCATACAATTAAATTTCGGGAACTTTTATTGCATTTTGAAAATTAGTATGGGATAAATTTGTCTACTCTTCAAAAATTATATTCTTAAAAATGCAAGAAAAAAAAACCTTAACTGAAATAAATCATAGTTTATCTTTTAATGGTGATGTTAAAATTTTAAAAACTAAATTCATGACTCGCAATAATTAAAACAAATAACTCTAGTTACGTGGATAGCATACTGAATAAATTTGATTATCTTTTCTTAATTCATTCTATCAGAGCAGTTAATACCTGAATGGCACAGAACAAACATTTTTCATTCTTGAAAACCATCCTCACCTTATTCTAAATCGCATAGTATTTGGATATTTTTAAATATTACCGTTAGGGTTTTCCAACTTTCACTCACGGAATTCGCGAAAAATGCATGGCGAGTATCACAAGATGATAAAATTTTGTAGGGTGGTAATATTCGTTTTAAAGTATCCAGATAATAAAAACCTTAAGATTTTGTTTAACCTCCTAAACTCTCTTCTTTATCCTCTACTTGTTATTACCTCTTATAATATGTTGATGTATTGAACTCTTTGCTACTAATTTTTTCTAATTAAATTTCTTATTTTTCTCTTTACCTTGCAACTAAAAGTGTATTGACATTAACAATTGATGTATTCTTTATAATTCGGTTATAATTAGTTTTTTTTTATATTAAATTTTACTAATTATTATAAAAAAAATCATTCTTAACGTTTAATTACTGTTTGTATTGCAGATGAATCCACAACATGGTGTTCCCACTATTGATGATAATGGATTCTATCTTTGGGAAAGGTAAGAGGAAATTTAAATCAAAATCTTAGTAAAAAAGTAAACTACTGTTTAAAAAAAAAAACATGAAGCACATTTGACACACTCCCCAGTTTTTTAGGGATAATAAGTATTTGCAATACCTGGAGTTAACCCGGGGGGTGATAATGAGAGAAGCGATAAATACATATCTGGTTAATTATCATACAAAAATAAACAAAATTACAAAGACAAAAACCTCAGATATTGTTAAGACCAAAAGGCTTTAAAAATATTTGTTTTTAAAAAAATTAAGTCACAGCATTGAAATATAAAGTCAAAAATAACGTACTAAATAGTGTTATTAAGTTGTTTACTTTTCATGGAATGTTAATTATTTCACATAAAAAGCATTAACCATAAATCAAGTTTTGTATGAAATGTGCTTACTCTTTAACTTGAATAATTAATATGTTTGTTGTTTTTTAGTCGTGCTATTTGCACATACCTTGTGAACAAATATTCTCCGGACAGTCCTCTGTATCCCAAGGATCCAAAAGAAAGAGCCCTTGTCGACAGGCTGCTTTACTTCGATATTGGCACTCTCTATAAGGCTGAGGGTGAATACCTGGTTCGTATTTTAATATCCTCTATATATCTTATTGACGTAACGCTATACTCCGTTGCAAGTTAAGAAATGACCATCGCGGTTAATCAGATCATCCGTGACAGCATATACTTCCGTTTATTTAGGTATCAAACTATACAAATATACTTTCAAAACAATATCAAAGCCTTTTTAAAGTTAAACACGTCAGACGGAAATTTAATTCACACTAACTCTTACGATGTATATCAAAGAATTATTTAAAATGGGTTATAGTTTCGTTGAAAAAGAAGCAACTATATGTTACTGCAAGAACATTGAATTTGATTGGTTCACTAAAAATGGTGCATCTTAAGCTGACATGCTCTTAAACAAATCAAGTGCGAGATGGCTGATTATAACTAATTCTGCTTCCTACTCTCACTGAACGCATTGCTAGTGGAACAGAGTGCTAGTCCTAAGTGGTAGACGGATCATTTGTCAGGCTGATCGTGGGAGGTTTTCGTGTTTTTCCTCTCTTGTAACGCAAATGCAGGTTAGTTCCATCAAAATGTCTTCTACAAAGGCTATTTTTTCCAAATGCTCAATCCAGGAGTTCCCTTTTCTTCTGGGTTGAATTACAAGGCTACAGATTTGAACATTCCTGATCGTAAGCTCAGTATCGGGTCGACTGTTCAACATCGGTTTTGAAATAAATTATATTGGAACTTCGTTCAGACAAAAAACTAAGTAACATTTAAGGGAAATTGGAAAAAATAACCCTTATTTATTTTTCTATTAGTGTAAAAGGGTGCAAGTCAAACTTATGAATATGATTATTCAAAATAGTAAAAAGTTTTAAAAAAATAATAATACAGGAGAAATTAAACTATTTTAATCAATCGTAATTTGTCTTTAGTGCCAGGATAAAAATGCACTTGGTCTTCATTAAAATTCAAAATTGTTTAAAGAAAAAAAAATATTCAAGTGCATTTTACGAAACTGAAGTAAAACAACCATAAGATTAATAAAAATTTCGTAAGTTCAATTACCAATATTTTAAAAAAGCGATAACCCCATCATGTTAATTAGTATTTAATATTATTACCGTAGCTGCACCCATTTATTTAGAAAGTGTATGCTTATTGCCACGCTTTGAAATTTGTCTTTTTACATTCTCTTAGCAAAAATTATTGCATATCTCTGTAGTTTTTCCTAATGTGATGTTCTTCTTTCTCAGTATCCCACATTATTCATGGGAAAAGCAGAAGATCCCGAAAAGAAGGAAGCTTTTGAGAAAACCTTGGCGTTCTTAGAAGAGTTCCTTTCCAAGACACCATACGTTGCGGGTGATCATCTGACTGTTGCTGACCTCTCCATCCTTGCAAGTCTAACTTTTGCGGAAGTAAGACAACTAAAATTTACTTCATTATTCCTGAGTAGCTGAAATGTAATTAGCTATAAAACGTTTTCGTTATGCTGAACGTGTTGTACGATATGCTCTAAAATCAGCTCCCTAAATTTATTTGGTTAGAATCCTTGTGAAAAATGTGATGGGAAAAAAACTATACACCGTAGGGGTCTTAAATCAGAGTTTAAGCGAGGAAGACACAAAAACGTAATCAAAATATGTTGCATCACTATAATTGTTGCATATGTTGCATCACATTTTCTTATAGTAAAGTGGCAATGACATAAAATATCATAATACAGTTATATTGCCTGATGGGACATGGTGTTTCTAATAGTTACCTTTTCGTTTTTTTTAGGTTTCTTTTCTGCAATTTTCGCTTTCCTCAGTCATGATTCCTTAGATTTTGATGGTGTTTTTTTTTTTAAATTTTTTTTCTAGTTTCAATTTCTAACTTACTATAGATATGATATATGATATGATATATGATATGATATATGATATGATATATGATATGATATATGATATGATATATGATATGATATATGATATGATGTGACATGTGATGGGACATGTGATGTGACATGTGATGTGACATGTGATGTGACATGTGATGTGACATGTGATGTGACATATGATGTGACATATGATATGATATATGATATGATATATGATATATGATCTCACGCGTCAGTTAAAAACCAAAGTCATATAAATTTAGTTCTCAGTTTTGTTGGTATGTCTTGGTGCAACTAGGTTGCAATTCCGAATAATTCAGTTTTTCTTGATTTCTTGAGTTCTGCTCAACTTTGAATGTTATTTTTTATGCTTGCTTGTATTTTTACACGCTTTTCACTCGTTACTTGCTTGTATTTTTTACACGTGTACGCACACGTTTTAACATATTTTTTTTCGTTAGTTTTATATTGCCATAGAAGTGAAATTTCAGTTAAAAAAAGAGTAATAAGGTGTAATAATTAATAAATGTATTAACTATAAAAGTAATTTTTTATTCAATATTTATATTTAATTTACTTATATTAGTAAAAACTCTAGTTTTAGTAAATAAATAAATCTACAGTTGACAATGATCTTTAAAAGGTAGGCAACAGAAAATTTGCAAAATAATTAACTGTAATTGTCAAAGAAAGACAATATTGACATACTTTGAAAACCAGACCCGTTAATCGAATGAAATTATTACGTGTTAAATTTTTTTTTAACATCGGTCAGTAAAATAGAAGGAAATAAATTTAGCATAAATATATTTTCTACAAATTTGAAAAAAAAACATGAGCAATTTTCTCTTGGCAGTCTTCTCCTCGGAGTTCTTAAGGTACGGGAAAGTATTCCAGTGTAGAAGTACCGATTGTCTCAAAAGTAAGTAGCAATGTGAAAAATCGGGGATTTTGATTAATCAGAGATTGATAGAAATCAATTTGACACGTTTTTGCTTGGAAAATAAAAGGCGTATTCTTACCGAAATTCATAATTAGTTACTAATTTTGCCATCAGATGCTGCTGCTAACTAAGGAAAACTGTACACTGTATGGCTGTCCAGAATTCTGGATGATCCTACTACAGAATTCGATTAGTCAGAATTCATAGATTATATTTCTGACTATTAAATAAACAAAGCAAATGAAAACATCGTTCAAGTGATGAAATTCTTCTTACTCACATCTCTCTGGTCCTATATATCAATAATGAAAATATGAATACATAATAAACTTAATGAAAAAAATAAATTTGAAAAATGAAAACAATTTTTTAAAATTTTTTAAAATTATTAACAGATTCACGTAAAATATTTACAAAATTAGACTACAAACACTTTTTTCATTTTCACACAACTGGCCTTTCCCCATATTGACGTTTTACACCAATTTCAAAGTAAGCGTTGACAGTGCTGGCTTTAGATAGACTAAACTTGCGCTAACAGTCATGATGAGTAACGATTGCAAACTCACAGCAGTTATCAAAATAGCATAGTATTCTTAAAAAAGCGTCCTTTCATGTTACGATGTAGCCTTCGAAAAACAGCCTTAATTGTTAGCCATCATTGGAACAAACAATTCCAAGATTGTACTGTAACATAACAATTATACTAATTCTGTTTCCTTTTTATTCCAGTTAAAGGACTTCAGTTATGCTGCTTACCCTAAAATCACTGCCTGGCTAAACAAAATGAAATCAGAAGTTCCAGACTTTAAAGAAATCAACGAAATTCCTATTAATGAATTCAAGGAAGTTTTAAGATCTAAAAAATGAAGAAATGTTACGCTACGTCATTTTAAAATGTATTTGTTTCTTCTGGAAGCATAAGTTTTTTTCTCACAGAAATACGATTCATTTGTTTTAATACGAATTTCAATAAATCACTGTTCCGTTAAGTTGTGTTGTTCTCTTTTTCGATATGTCTATTTTGATATGTCTATTATATGTCTTTTTCGATTTGTCTTTTATTTCGATATGCATGTTTTAATCTAAGAATTGTAAATTGTAGATCTGAGTGGAAAGTGACAAGAGGAAGTAAAGATAATGCCTCGCTTTTATTCCTTGTCCTTCAGTTTAACTGGCTAGATTTTTTTTAATTCTTGACACTTATTTAAACTGCTCGCTCTCATGGTGTTACAATTTACTACCAAAATACAGGTTTTATTTAAGGTTATTTGCTGATTGTTTGTTTCCAAATGCACTCGAAACATTCTTTCACTTAAATACCTCCATCCACTGAGAACTCCGAAATTTAATGAGGCAAAATAAATCAATATTATATTAATAATAAAAGTAAGAGTTTGTCTTATTACTCCAGAACCATTTATGCTAAGAGTTCTAAAACTTGGAACAGATTTTAGCATCAGTTTTAACCCCCAATCTTAAAAATATTGGGAAATTTGAATCTTGATCATAAAAAACGCTTGATTTTTTTTTCTAGCATTAGAATAATGCAACTTAACCTGCTGTCAATTCTATTATAATTTATTTTAAATTGTGTTTACTTATAAATCTCTAGTAACGACACAAAAAAGGTTAATTTAATTTTTACTAATGGCAATTGCTTTAGGAAACGGCAGTGTCTCAAATCCGTAAAAAAGATCCGGAAAATAACAAAGGAAAGCAAAACAAACTTTGTTATTTTCTGGATAGCAAAATATCCAGAAAATAACAAAAGAAATAAATATGAGTGTTATTAAAATATCTGAGCAAATCAACATGGCATATTTTATGTAAAATATACACTGAAGAATAAAATGACACTAACATCTATGTTTATAAAAAAGTAGAGACAAATAAATCTCGACTTTAATGACGTTTTTAAGTTACAGTAACATTTAGTTGACATTGCTTATTAAATGCATTATATTACATAAACAATTTAATTATTAAATAGTCGTTGGTACAATTCGTCTCAGTGCCAGATTTTAGTGGGCGCAATGGGATACTTATGACGTAGTGTGGATGTCTCAAACCTGATTGGTTGTTGAAAGGTGGCATTTGTTTACGTTAAAAACTGTTCTTTCCATTTCGAGTAAGTCAAGCCCGTCAAGTATCAATTCTTTAAGTGACACATTCTATATTTTTCCACAAGGATTTCAATTCATTCGCTGCATACTTCTTACTCAACACAAAGACAGGCACGAAGTTATCAGATAATAGCATTTTCTTAAAAAATTTTTGACTGCTATGTTTGTCACAGTAGCATATAAATTTATTTGTAGTGAGAAAAAAAAACATGATATATCATACCAAAAATGTATTCTTGATACTCATACTTTAGGAAAGATGTTCAAAAAACTATTATTCATCCTGAGTTATTAAGGATCATTTTGTTAACTAAGCAAAGTTGATCTCTGAATTTTTTTTAACTTAAAGTTTTTTAATAATTATTAGATTCAGGTAATGCAATGATTAAAAAGTATTGTCGAAACGATTACAATATTTTAAATTTACAGTGTATCTGGCTCTACGGGGACACCAGAAAGCTCGGTAACTTTTACCAAAGCTCTTTATTTTTGATTTTGGTAAAATGAACAATAAAAAATATGGTTCTATAATATGTTAAAATTTGGTTAACGGGGCAAAATTTGGTGATTCAATCATGATAATTTAGAGTATGGCATAAATGCATGTCATGAAATCTTACAGCAGCTATTCTCAAAAGGTGTTCCATGGAACCTTAGAGTTCCGTGGGGGCTCACAAGGGGTTCCAAGAACTAGGACTTTCTTTAACCAGTTATGATTTTCAAAACCTGTAATTAAATTAATTATTCGTTATTTGTTTATTATTTTTAGTATTTATACAAAATTGTTTTATTAAAATACTTGTGAAGAAAAAATAACAAGCCCTGATAACAAATTATTGAATGATTAATGAAAAGACTATCGTCCTCAACCTTGGCACAACAGTTCGAGATGGGCCAAGGCCTTCCGAACTGTCCAAGGTGCTTCCATTCATTCCTACTGGTAGCCAAACTCTCTCACTCATTAAAAATTGAGGTAATATTTTTTCTCGATTAAAAATTACTAAATTCAACAATGAAGAACTCATTTCAAAGAACATTTCAATAAACATTTTCAAAGTTTATTTTCGTTTTTATTTCGATGAAAATCACAATACGTCATTCATGTTGAGTTTATGCATTCACTGAATAAAATCTAGAACTAGATTAGATTTAGGAAAAAATTTCATTTTTAATCTTTTATTAAATATCTTCAAAATAATTAATGAAATTTCAGACACTATTTTCAGTATAATTAATAGTCTTTCGTTGATTAACCCTTTGTAACTCAACAACTCTGATTTAAGAAATATTTACGCGGATGTTGGAATACATCATATTAAGCGTGTAAAAAATAATGAAAAAATTAAGATCTTAAAATTAAAAATTTATTGATAAAAAGTATTTGTTGAACATCTCCAATATCGCGAAAAATAGCACAAAAATTCAACTATATTTAAAACTTCATGTGAAAAAATTTGAAATTATTGTTTTATGGTAGCAAAGTCTCACACCACATTTTTCAATCTGTCCTTAGCCAAATATACAATCAAGGGAATTGTTGTAAAAAAATTGTATATCATGCAATTATGTCGTGGAACAATTCTTGCTAAACGCATTATAATATTGGTAGCTGCACCAAGATTTGGTTCCCCCGAGTTTGCAATATTTTCTTTACCTGAATTTGGTTCGATTTTATAGGTAAATCCAGCTCATTATAGGATTGAATTTTCATGTATGTTGCAGATATGTAACGTGGTGATACAAAGGGTTAATATGTTAACATTTGCTTATAAAATGTATCCATTAAGTTTCTGGGGTTCCGCCAAAATCAAGTCGATAATTTAGGGTATCATAGCCGAATGAAATGGAGAACCGCTGTCTCATAGTATGGTATAAGAGTACGGTAAATCTTTTCCTTACGAATGGAAAAAATTGCCAAATGAATGGTTTAAATACCGTGCGTTTTGGTTTTATTAACCAGAATTTGGCTCTTTTAACCAGAAATGTCATTACCATGCAGTACCGTATTTTTTCATAAATTCTTTTCTTCGTGTGCAAACATTTCTATCTTGCAAGAAAAGGTCCAGCGTAACGCTATTCAATCATATTAATGTATTTGCATATCTAGCATCTTAAGTTAGTTTTTAATTCGATGATACTTGATGAAAACTTTATCATGATGGTCGTATCATATTTACCATGCTTACGATGTTTTTATTAATGTATTTTTTTCTTTTCAAATTTATTTCTTTTTACTACTTTAGAAGATTATTTTTTCTCTAATAATGGGAATTAGAGTATTTAGTATAGGCATGTTTCTTTGAGCTAGACGAAGGGGAGGACAGTGGCTTGTTTGTATTAGCATTCCTCCCTCCTCAGAACAGCAAATATTAGTAGATTGCAAACATAGTTACTTGGAATGAAGATTAGCTGAAAATTGATTATGCTTGGCAAGCTGGATTACTGGCCCTATAGGCCCAAAAGAAACTTCAGAGGTTTAAGAAGATAAAACCAATTTTTACCAACCATTTCAACTGTACTCCTCCAAACAAGATTACGAAGGTTCGAACCCTAGCGGTGGCAAGTTGATACGAATTCTGCTCCTAGCTTTTTTTTCTACCCCAGTGCTAATATAAAATGTCTTTTGTGGTCAACGGATCATGGGTTAAAATTCCTTTGTCGTAGAGCAAACGTGGGAGTTTTCTTGGTTTAACTCTCCATGTAACGAAAATGGGGTTAGTTCCATCAAAATGTCCTCCACTAAGGCTAGTTTGTCCCAATACTTGATTCAGGAGTTCTCTTGTCTTCTGAGTTGGATTAAAAATTACTAGTTCACGGAGTTGAACATGGATAGTCGTAAACTCAGAATAGGATCAGCTGTTCAATGAGAGTTATAAAATTTAAAAAAAAAATCAACCAATGAGAGGCTTTCATGCTCTCGTACATATACTAGTCCATTTTATTCTTTCCGTCCTTACATTTATTACTTTTTATGTTGCGTTAATGTTACGTTTTATTATTGTTACTCTTCAATAACTGTTGTTAAGTTTGTTAAGTTGGATTCTTATTATTTACTATACCCTCTTCCCACTCCTTGTTGTTGACGTATGCTTGTTTAGGCAGAGGAGGTGCGATTGCTCTTGTTTTCTAGTGGCTCCATCTATTGCCGAGAATTCGACTTCTGCCACACCATATGTAACACCCGCTTATAGGGCGAACACATTCATACATCCATTAATCCACAGATCGTAATTTTGACCTGAATCAGAGAACGATCGATCTCCAATACAGTACCCCCAGAGGTATTGATTTGTTATGGGAACATGGAGGACTTTTGAGACTCGACAGTTTGATTTGTTCATTTACGTCGCAATAGAGCTGCACAATGGGCTATTGGCGACGGTATGGGAAACATCCCTGAGGATGATCCGAAGACATGCCATCACAATTTTTATCGTCTGCACATGGGATGGCACCTCCGCTTCGGTAGCCTGACGACCTGCACGCGAAGTCGAGCACTTTACGGTAGAACAGTTTAACGAGGACCAATACCGCACACCCTCGGATGAGACTCGACAGATTTAACGTGCATCCGTCACTTTACTACGCGGGGAGTCTTCGGCCGGCGGGGTTCGAACCCACGAACAGTCGGACATGGGCCCAGCCGACCTGGCTATCCCGGCCAAATTATAAAATACTCACAGTATTTATCATTTTCGTTAACAATCGCGTAACAACAGTATTCAATGATCGCCGTTATCGATAAAACCCGCAATATTAGCTCATTCGATATTTATCGTAGGCGATGGTAGTCACAATATCTCGGGATAATTTTTTTTACGGTATAGTTACCGCGATATTAAAAAAAAAAAATAGATTTTTCAAAATGAACAATACTTTACGATTAAAAATATGATTATCACTTAACACACAATGGCTTATACAACAACAACAAAAAAGTATTTTTTCTGTTTTTTTTCCCGATTATATAAAGTTGTAAACCATATCATTATTGAAACCTGATATCCCATTTGGAAAGAACACTACTTTTTCAAGGTTCATCACAATGAAATTGTTGCAACTGGCATGTCCTTGGCATCGACCCAATTATAATTTTTCTGATTGTTCAGAGAGCTCTGGCACATCCCACTTCAATGCCATCAGTCAGTGAGCTTTGATGCTTGTCACTTCGGTTTAACTCTCGTTCTGAATTAAAGATAAAACTGACAGTAGTACATAATCACCCACTTTACGACTTTCGTATTCTAAATATTCCGTTCATATCCTAGTCTTTTAAATTCTGCTAAGAATTCGAATATTTTTAACTTTAAAATCAATAAAAATGGGCATTGTTATGTATGGAATGGAAGCCAGTCCTGCATGTGCTGCAGTTAGACTGACTCTTGGCCACTTGGGAATAGCATTTGAAACAAAAATAGTGGAATTGTCTACCCGTGACCAGTTTAAACCTGAATTTTTAAAGGTACGTTTTTTTTAACAATAATAGCACACAATTATTCTTTAAGAGTTGTCTGCAAACTTGAGTATAATACTAATTTTTCCATTTTCAAAATTTTTGTTGTATGCAGTAATGAATACAGTTAACGTACAGTTGTAAATATACATAACTATAGTATATAAATATAATTGTTTACAGTTGAAAATATAAATATAAAGTTGTAAATACGATGTCCGTGGTAATTACGAAAAGAAAATATTATTAAACCGAAAAAAATATTAATAATACTTTAGAAATAGAATTTATGTTGCTAATTTATGGAATAATTATTGTGTATTAGTATAGGTGAAAAAAAATATAAAGCGGGTGTGGCAACAAAAAAAAAATCTTGAAAAATTAAATCAGGATCGTTTGGAACAAATTTTTAAAATATTTTGGGATATTGCTTCATTTAATGTGTATAGAAGAAATTTCATTTTTTCTATGAAGTATTATGAAAAAAATTTCTAATGGTGATTATAATCTTAGCATGTACTGAAATATGCTTTAAAATAAAAATATCTTCAATTAATTCATTTTTATAAAAAAATTATGATACTCTAATTTGCTTTCAACATAAATTTATAACAGTTATTTAAAAAAAATTAAATTGCATGTGAAGATTTTTAATTTTTCAGTCAAAATCTAAAATTTATTTATATTTATTTATTTATTTTGAGGTTAAAGAAATAAATCTAAAATTAACAAATATTGCATGTTTATCTTTTAATGTATTTGAAATAGATAATTTCAAAATTAAGAAAAGAAGAAAAAACATTATCATGAGGAGGGAGGGGATATTGAAAGTTATAGCATCGTATGAATTTTTTTACGGTCAAAATTAAGAAATGAAAGAAGTAATGTTAGTTAAACTGTTACCTCAGTTAAACTGTATTAAACCGGCTACTTCAGTTTTTATCGAATTTGATTATTTTTAGCTGCAGTAAAAATTTGAATGTTTCATTCAATTTGTACATAAAAATAAGCTAAAAACCGTAGAGTGTGATTGACATTGAAAAAGTATCGATACTATAGGTATATGATATAATTTCGATTCTACCAAAACTTCCGATTCTACTATCTAAAATTTTGATATTTTTTAATTTGTAAAAAATATATATTACATTTTTTTTTAATTATGTAAGGCTATGAATATATTTCGATGAGTTATACTACATTTAATTTTATTAATTCTTCTCGCAACAACTAATGAAGTTTGTCAAACAAACAAAGCCACCGTAATGCAACTAGTTCTCTAAGTCTAATTAAATTAAAACTAACGTTTAGAGACTAAGTTAATAAATACTACAGATGTTATAAACATTTGTTCTTAATCTTGAATTTTCCTCAGATCTAATTTAAATATAGTTGATGCATATATTCTTCTTATAAATAAATACTTAAATTCTGGCTAACCCCCAAGCCATTATCAGCTAAATTTAAATTTAATAGAAAATTACCTTGTTTGAAGTGTTGCCATCCAATATTTATCAAAACTGGCAAATTTTAAAAATTACTATCAAACTCCACTAAAAATATCTAAAGAATTTTTTTTCCGAAACCTTAAGATATTTTGATTTTGCCTTTTTTTTAAAAAAATATCTGCAGATTTTCGTGGACATTTCATAATCATTTTAAACACTTCACTATCTTCAAAATATCTGCGGAATTTTTGAAGAAAGTTAAATTTGCCTCCAAATATTTTACAGATAAAAAAATTTAAAATTTTTTTTAAAACACTTGGAAAAAAATATTTGTTTTTCATAGGCATGTATGTTAATTTTCTCTTATTTCATTTGCCAGGACAAAAACACGGAGATAATTAACGTGAATGGAAAGATAAACTTTTTATATTAGATTATAATGAAACCTGATGATATTAAAATCCTACTATTTTCTGCGCTATTGAAAAATGTGCATATTTTTTCGCGAAAACAAAACAAGCAAAAGAACAAAAAAACGGTACATAAAAATAAACATGACAAAAAAGAACTAGATATTTTAATATAAAATGCAATGTATCTTTGAAATTATACGTGTATACACGCAAGTTTCTTAAGAAAAAATAATGAAAAATTTGTGTGTGTGCTAATTTCTTAAGCCTTCCAGAAAAAATAAATTCTGATACTACTTTTAAAGCCTAGATTTTATTTTTAAAAAATTCTGCAGAAGATAAAATCTGAAGGTAATTGACCCACTTTTTAAACCTAATTTTACAGGAAATTAGCAAATTCATTCTATTTATTTATTGATTAATTTTTTTAAATTCTAATTATCTTATAGTTTATTAGAAATCTTAAGATTATATTTAAAAAAATTATCTAAATAATTGTGTGGTGAGCAACTCATGAAGCTACTTAGTTCAATATAACTGAGTATATGCTTCTGCCGAGAAGGCTGAATTGTGAATCTAGTGGACCCCAGCGTGGACAATGCAATATTTCTCATATTCCCTCAACACAGGAGTTTCCAGTATTCTGCACTCCTCAATAGATGACCCTGGAATATTTTGGAGCGCAAAACTCTCTTTCACGTATTGCTGGCAGCACCATAGAGCTGCTCAACAAGTATTCTAGTATTTTCCATCTCCCGCGATAGATGACAGTATTTGAAAATTCTTTTAAGAATTTCGCAGAAAATTTAGAGAATTAATTAAGATAGATTTTCTGTTAAAATAGATAGTCTGTAAAAAATCCAATTTGTAGATAATTTTGAAGAAAAAGAAGACTTAAATAGTGGATCACATACTTTCAGGGGGGTTTTTTTTCAGAATAATTTTCAGAATACTTCTTCAGCGGGGGGTGTCATACTAAAAAACAAATCTTTTGCACATCGACATTTTGTTTTAATCTTTTCAGTTGTATTGATGTTTAAATCTACCTTTCGATGCTAAGTATTGTTAATTTCTTCCAATAGTAGGGCATTAACTTTGGGGCTTTAAAAACTGCAATTGTCTCAAATTGAGTAGACAGTTACATACATCTTATTCTCAAAACGTATCGCTTCCGATTTCAAAAGATGAATTGAATTCGGGATATCATATAAGAGATACGCAAGGAAGCTTTATTATTCATCCAAACGAATCAAGTCTCAATGCAAATACGTTAAGTTTTTATTGAAGTTAATCGGTTTAGCAAGCTTTCAATATAATTTTTGAACATTATATGCAGGGATATAAAATAATAAGAAATGTAATATTATATTAATCAAATTTTTCCCCTCAGTCCTCTTACATACATCAGCTGAAATATTAATCGTAAAGGATAATTCCTGGTCGGCATGGTTTAAGGAATAGATAGTATGAACTTTAATAACAGCTTCATGATTTAAAATAATTTGCAGCTCATAAAAATTTAAATCTATAATGTAGTATTATGATTCGGACAACTCTCCTCTAAAATAAGCTTAGTAAAACTGGAAGTGAAAAAAAAATTCATATTATGTTACCTTAGTCAGAATAAATTAAGTCTTTGACACAGAATTTTTATTAAACATAATTTTCGTAGTTTTTCCATTATTTAGTATTAATTTAAGTCAAAATAAGTGGAAAAATATCATATTTAGCTTCTTAATAATTTATGGTCATGAAATACAGCATAGAACACGGGTGTCTTTTTCTATGCTAAATGTAAAATCTTCCAAATACGGCTCATTTATAAACAATATTTTTTCAAATTTGCACTTGTTTGCATTTATTTAGATATAAGCAAGACAATTATTCATCATTGAAATTTCTTGAATTTACAAAATCAATTATTAATACATTTTCGAATATAAATGAAAAAAAATTTCAAACTACTTATATTTTAATACAGATGTAATTCCGATAATATAAGAGATTTTTTTAGCATTTATTACGCTATTTTTTATGATTAAAAAATACCAAAATATATTTTTAAGTATAAAACATCCAAGATGTTATGTTTTAAACAAGAGAACACATCCAATATTATGTCTTAAACTTGCATTAGCAATTAAGATATGTATCGAACATACTTCAGAAATTATATTGAGTGACATATCTGGGATGTTTGGGTCATGTAAAAATTTAATGTGTTGTGTACCGATAGAACTTGTAAAAAAATTTCCAAGTCCTGGTATGGATATTATACATCATATATAACGATCATATTTCAATAATTTTCTTCATGCAAATATTTTGAAACAACAGTCAAATTTTAATATTAGAGGAATTTTAGAACTTTCTTACTAATTTCCTAATTCAAATATGTGTTTTAAATTTTATTAGGAAGTTTGTAGTAGCTCTGTCTTTTTTCCTTCCAATTAACTGAAATATTTTAATTACAGATAAATCCACAGCATGTTGTACCTACTATAGATGATAATGGTTTCATTCTCTGGGAAAGGTAAATAAAATCTACAAATGCTTCATATTGGTTTTTGCCGTTGTCTAACATAACAAACCTTGCAAATTTGTGTCCGAAGATGCTGTTTTTTGGGCATTTATAATGGAACATCTAAGGAGATTAATGATCTTTCAGTGAATTTGAATTTTTCCGCATAACAGTTCATGCGTTGACAATTTTAAATACGCATTATGCATATCTTTTATTCCTTGAACACAAACTTTCGGTTTGATTTCGTTTTATAACTGTTGTTAAACAGCTGATCTGATTTTGAGTTTAAGACTATCAATGTTCAACTCCGTGGCCTTGAAATTTTGGACACAATCTTGAAGACAAGGGAACTCCTGGATTAAGTAATTATAGAAATTTTTTGATAGAACTAACCCGCATTTGCGTAACATGTGGAGAGAAATCACGAAAATTTCCACGGTTAGCCTGACGATAAGGGGACTCTAACCCATGATCCGCCTAACACAATGGATATTTTACGCCAGCCCTGCAGTCAGTGTGAGAATTCTTATCGACCAGCAATCGCTGGTATTCGAACCCGGGCCATCTCATTGGGAGGAGAAAACTCTATACCTTGAGCCACCAGGACTCCGATGGACAGAACCTATTATTATTCCTTAAAACTAATTAAAACTGTCGAATTGTATTTCACAGTTCACACATTCGACGTTTAAATATGCTGCAAAAATAAGAGTTCTATCAATAATTGTTCACTTTTTGATGCAAAATGCACTAGAACTTTCTTTTACTCCAAAAACATACAAAGATTGTCACCCACTGTCTTCCTTCATTGAGATTTGTGAAATTTAAAGATTCAGCTAAGTAAGTTGAAGTTGTGTTCTAAAATAAGACAAAAATGAGGTTTTATCCGAGAAACTTCAATTGCATCAAATATGTCACTTGCAACCTTTTTCCAATTTTCTCTGCAATGTATAAAATATTACAAATTAAAAATTATTAATGAATCAAGAACATGGTTTACGTTTTAACAAAAGTAAATATAAATTAAATTTTAACTATGAATTGTATATTTTATATTTGAAAAAAGCTCTTGCCAGTGGCCGTTATGTTTAATCGCTTTTTTCAAGGGCGCCGTTTTCATTGTTATCATATCAATTCGTGACAGCACTAATAACAATTCATTTTTTTTATGGAGCCCTATTTTCTAGAATCTTTTACGTACAATTTCTATCTACATCGATGAGCACTTTTCTGTTATTAAATTGAGGCTTCTTATTTTGATTAGAGTTGTGTCCCAGAGAACTTTGAAAAATGATGGCCAATTACAGAGGCCAGGGCATCTGGCCATATTCATTCTACATTTATATTTGTGCAATAGAAAGCGGTCTTTACTTTCCAGCGAGAAAGTGCCCTTTATAAGATATCCCTAATGTTTCTGATGTATTTTTGTTCTCTCATGCTTGTTCACAAATACCTTCTGCATTTTACTCCCATTTAAGAGTGTGCATTACTTCAATATTACATTATTCTTTCAATATTTGAAATAATTAGATGTATTTACTTAAATTCAACATAAATTACATTAAATTTTGTTTCGTTAATGGTTATTACGTTAAGTTTAATTCTAATTTTAAATGGGAATTGCCTTAGTCAAATATGCGACCTGTCGCCCATGTATTCTGTCTACTTCTGTGTGATCATGAATTATGATGCAGATTGACAAAAAAAATGTTTTTGTTACTATTCTGAAAAATAATTCACAAATTCCAATGGGTTTTCTTATCTGTGTATCCCGAACATTGCTGGAACGAGACTTAACACTAAGGCAGATATGGATCCGATACGCTACATCTCAAAGTCCTTTTCCAAGACGTTTTTTTTTTTAATTAAAAAAAGGAGAATAGAATCTTTAAATTGCAAAAAATACCTGTCTAAATAGGATTGTAAATTTTAAACTACATTATTTCAACAGGAATTAATGTATTCTTTGTGACTTCAGTCTTTAATGTTTATGTTTAATATAGTCAAGTTTCATGATTCACTAAAAACATTAATCAATAATCAATAAAAAGGTCGGGAATTCGATTCCCATCTGCCGAAGATCGCTAAATCTGTCGGGGTCACAAAGTTCTCCAAGTTCCCATAACAAATCGATACCTCTGGGATTACTGGCTCGGAGATTAATCGTGCTCTTACTCTAGTAAAAATTACGATTTGCGAATGGTGTATGAATGTGTCCTCCCTGCAAAACGGGCTGTGACGTATATATATGGCTGAAGTTGAATTCTTGGCCAACGGTGGCGCCACTAGAAAACAAGAAGAAGCGCACCTCTCTGCCTTTAAAATAGGCTTGTCAGTATTGACATATCGCTTTGGACAACAACAACAATCAATAAGAATTCGGAAAGTGGTGAATCTGTTGGGGGAGAATCGAACATCCAGAACCACGCTGTCGTGTTTAATTAAGAGCCGTGAAGCAGTGGGTTCGTAGGGAAGAACCAATGAGTGGAAAAAGCTCTACCGATTAATCTACTGTATAAGATAAATTAATAGCAGTAGCAAAACGGAGAGTAGTGCAATAAAAAACCAAGTATCCAGAGCAATGCTGTCGAAGAGAACGAATCGGTGAGTTTGTGGAGCAGAACCAGTTGACTACCGAAGGCGCCGGCTGAAAGACATACTAATTAAAATGTACTAAGTAAATTATACTGAATTAATTTATGGAATTATTATTGGAGTTGGTAGTTAAAGTACTAAGTAAATAGCAAGTTGAACTAAGTTAACTTACATATAAATATTAACTTTAGTTTTCAAATGTTTAAGAAAATAATTATTTTTACAGCCGTGCCATCCTGGGTTATTTGGTGGATCAGCATGCACCAGGCAGCTCTCTCTATCCTAAAGATCCCAAAGAGAGGGCCGTCGTAGACAGGCTGTTGTACTTTGATATCGGCACTCTATACAAAGCCATAGGTGAATATTTGGTATGTATTTTGATATGTTACTAAATGACTTAAACATAAGGCATTTGCGTAAATGTATTACAAACACGCTGTCTGTTAGAGTAGATATTTTAGTATCCCAATTAAAGTCAGATAAAATAGAAATCTTATCCACATATTTTAAATTATAATTTCAAAATTTTATTCTGTCTCTATATAAACGCAAACTTTGGCTATCTTAAACTTCTATTTTTTACACCTATATTTTTTTGAAAAAGCTCAAAAAATTGCAAGGAAATTTGTTACTTTAAAATATCCCGTATAATAAGTAATAATTTTATAAAATGTATAAACAAAAAACACTTATTTGGACCGAACGCTTTTGTAATAGGCAAGTTTTTGAACTCATTCTCTAAATGATAAACTATTACATACGCGAATGACATCACAGCAGCGCAGTTTTCAAAGTTTCTTCCTACTCTAGTTGCAGTAAAATCTCTCATTTAATAAGAAAAGTTAAGTTAATGACGTAAGTTTTGAAGAATAAACACTTCATAATATGGTGTCTCTGTAATATTTTTATTTATTCTGATTAGTTCCTTTTTAATTTTGTTATATGATAAACGATACTAATAAAAGCAGAGAAAATAAATATTTGTAATGATACTTAGTCGAAAAGCATGTATGCAGTTGATATAAGAAATGACACTATCCATATTTGTTCATCTATTACTTTGAACGAATTAATGGTGCACGTTCACCATATAAATGTGTATTATATTCAACATAGAAAATAAATATAAGAAAAATAAATAAATTTAAATATTTAAATTAAATCTCAAACCACTTTAGGTGTTGAGAAAAATGTACTTTATCTTTATTGATATACTCGATTACTATTCACGTAGAAAAAAAATCGAAACATTTATAACATTAAAATAAAGGACTTAAAAAAAAATTTCGAATTATATTAACAATTAGCATTTTTTGAAATAACTATTAATTGGATAGAGAGTTTAGTTCATCATCCAACTAGTAGTTAAGATTACTACCTTAGAGAGTCGTTACATAAATTTTTCTTCTCTTTGGAGGAAAAAAGAAATACGTGACTTTTCCTAACTCTCTAGTATTAGTGGAAACTTTTTCATACTTCTCTTCTGTAGATTTAAACTTAGAATGCAATAAAATAATTCTACTCATTGAAGGATCCAAAATTATTTTAAAGCAAAAATTTGAAATTCAGTTAGGGCTATTTAGTTTAAGATAGAAGATGGAGTTCAGATAAACATAAGGCAATAGTAGTACCGTAAACCGGGGCGAGTCTACCCATCCAGAGGCGAGTCTACCCATTTTAGTTTTATTTAATTTTCACTACTTTAAATTGCAAATAAAAAAATTTTTACCGACGGAGGACTTAGTTCAGACTCTAAGGAAGATGGCGCTGTAGTAGTTTGATCCGTTTTTATTTATTTGGTGTCTTTTTAACCGACCTGTTCAAACGTCTTTTGAGAGATTTGTATTGAAAATCAGCAAACTTTTAGTTGGTGCTCCGTAAGTATATTATTATTATTACTATTTTCACTTTGGTTAAGTGATAAACTTATCTAAGACTAAGATTACATTAATTTTATATAAAAAAAAACAAAAAGAATGTAAGTTTTGCTGTTGTAAACAAAAAGCCAGAATTCGCGGGGCGAGTCTACCCATTCGTATTTAGTTTTAATAAAGCATAATAATATAATTTAGAACTTTGTTTATATTAAAATTAAGTCATTTTAAATGAATTTGAGTATATTATTTTAATTCTGCATTGATAAATTTATCATTAATAAGAAAATTTATAGGTTAAATATAAATGTAAATATAAAATATGTTTATTTTACCTATTTTTTCAATTTTTATATTACAAAATTAACTTTTTTTATTTAATGCAAGTTAAATAAATTATTATTTATAAATTATTATTACCTCCCAAAAGAATGGGAAAAGGATTTTTCATGATTCCCAATGTTTGAATTTCGATTTTGTTAATAATCTTTAATTATTATTATTTATTAATTATTTAATTGTAAATTTATATTAATTTTAATTTATTTTTATCAACAATAATCAGAAAAAAATGTTATTTTATAATGTTAATGATTATAAAAACAAAACTGTGATCAAAATGTGATAATCGATCAAATACTCAATTTGTGTTATTTTATGAATAAAAAAATGGAATATATAATAAAGTTATGAATTTTACTTCATAAATATCCTATATAGTAACTAAAATAACAATTTAATAGTAAAATTTGATTATTTACAATGTTAACATTCATTTTAGTAGAATGGGTAGACTCGCCCCATACGAGAGATTTGTCAGCAGTTCTATAAAAATATACAGTAACAGCGTAACTGTTAATATTTTCTAAAATCGATTTCACAGCTTTAAAGAGGGATAAATAGCAATTCCGAAACACCTATTAAAAGCCTTTGTTCTTTAATGTTTACAAAAGTTTGACCACTTGAAAGTTGACAAACTGAAAAAATGGGTAGACTCGCCCCGGTTTACGGTAGCCGCTTTGTAACCCGAAGACCTGCGCGCGAAGTCGTGCCCCTTACGGTAGAACAATTTAACAAAATCCGACTCCGAGCACCCGCTGTCCCTTCGCAGGCTGAACAAACTGGTTACCCAACCGGTCACTGGCCTCCGTCAGTGATGCCTGACTTCAGTGTTCTATTTAAAACAGTGTTTTTTTGACACGTTAAACATTAAAAAAATATCAAAAACAAACATGTTAACAAATTTCATGACTATTTACAACAATGAGAAAAAAACTCTGATTTCCTTTTCTTGTTTCAGTATCCGGTACTTTTCTTTGGACAGCCAGAATTTAGCTCAGAAAAGAAAGAAGCCATCGATAAGGCATTAGGATTTCTGGAAGGATTCCTCAGCACGACGTCATACGTTGCTGGCAATCACCTCACTATTGCAGATCTTTCTATTGCCTCAAGTCTCAATTTTATTTATGTAAGTATTTCAATTGTCAGTGTATTTTTTTTGTTTCGTAATTGTTATGTAAATATAGTGTGTCTCATTTCTAAGAACAGTTTTATGGAATAAACAGATATCGTAAAATGCATAGGGGTAATAACACAAAACTTAAAATCTTTTTGGGGACTAATTTTTTTCAGCTAGCTAACAAAATCATAATCTTTGATATTAAGTTTCATATGATAGGCAACATAGGTCATTTCTTTGCATGGAGTGTATATTACACTGATCAGTTGGTTTAATAAAATCCATTTTACTATTACGCCGAGACAAATTTCGGCTACACACTGAGTGAGCTTAGTTCACTTGACTTTTTCCTATTCATTTTTTAGTTTCGATAATTATAGCGGCCACTATTGAATCACGTCTTAGGAGGAAATAGAGATACTTATCTCTGAATCGAGGACCCTACTCTGATGCTTTTTAAGGTTAAGTGCCACATACATTTGCTCGGTATACCCTACACTGATGTTTTCTTTAAGCTAAAGAGTCATTTCCCTGTATGCATTTGACCAGTATACCCTACCATGATGTTTTGCTTTAAGGTTAGGTGGCTAAGGTTAACTGGCAAGTTCGGATTGGTATTATAACATAACCGCTATTGTATTTTGCGGCTTTGATGAGAACTCCTCCAGACTGAAAGTCTGGGGTCGTCTGCTGCTATGGTAACAAGCGAGAGCACATTTCTAATGGGTGTGAAATGGAGGAAAGAAGGTGTCGATTGGTTTACTCACGACTACATACGCTAAGATCATAGATATAAAGGCAGAAAGATCAATCACTCGACCAAACGGACGTCACGGTGAACGCTGACATCACTGGTCTAGTAACTAGTCTGTACTCTATATCCACGCCACGTGAACTGCGGTGTTTGTTTATTGCAGCTGTACATAATTTGTTCTTTTTTAATTTGATTTTTATAAGTTGTAATGATTAATAATAATTGATAACATTCAGTCTCTTTGCCAGAAAAATCTGCAATTCGCAAATTTTATGACGCATTTTTTTTCCAGATTTTTTTTAAAGATTTATAATTCGTAAATTTTAAACTTAAAAAACAAAAAAAAAAAAAGAAAAAAAAACTAATATGTTATTCAAATTTAATTCTTTATATCATTCTGAAATTCAAATATTTCAAATAAAATAAAACACAATTCATGTATCTACAAAAAATTAATAGATAAATAACATTAAGAACATTTCAGTAAACATTCCAAGCTAGTCAAAACATTATATTTCATATAAAGCACAAGAAATTGGAAAATGATAATAATTGCTGAGATATAGTCTCATTATTGCCTGTTAGCGTACAATTAGTTTGCTAGTAAAACGTTTTCTTGGTTTTCATTTGTGTGTAATGGAAATTCTAATTATTTTTATTCAAAAAGTCTTTCAAAATATGATTTTACTCCTCTATTTCAATTACAAGTCACTTTGATTTCTGGGTCGTGTTAAAGGTTAAAAATATAAGAAAAGTATTTCACAACATCCACCTAGATGACAAATTGTTTGTCAAGGATGATAAAAAAAATTAATGGTTAAAAAAATAATTCATTGCGATAATGAACATTTAGCTGTAATGTCATCATTGTTCAGTCATCTAAAAGACTGTTTCGTGGTTTTCCTTTGCATTTAACGCAACATTTGATTATTTTAATTTCACCTTAATCTTGACTAAAATAAATTATTTTAATAACTTTAATAAACATTGTTTTACACCGATATTTAAATTGCACGCTACTTTGATTTTTGGAAAGAGTTTAAAATTACAAAAAATATGAAGAGCATCTCGCTAATCACCGAAATAATTGACTGTCTTTCAAAGATGCTAAAAAAATGATTTATTATGTAAAGAAAAAAACCATTACGATTACTGAGCATTTCGCTGGAACTCTTTAAGCGTCAAGCAATCTGAATGATATTTTCGTGGCTTCCCTTTACGTGTAACGCAAAATATGACTGTTTTCCTTAAAAAAAACATTCATAAAGGCAGCAATGTTTAAATATTTACATAAATTATGAGTTATTTTATCTTTATTCCTTGTTAAATCAAAACAAAATGAAGAGCATTTGATTGTGGGCAATTAATTAGCAAGGTAGATAGTCTTACGCGGACATTAAGAAATGAATTGGGAGATTTTGATAGGGATATATTATAATGATTTGAATAATTATTCGTGCAAAGGCATTTATAAAGATCGGAAATTGAAAGATACAATCGAATTCATTATAAATGCTACGAATAATTATTTTCATGAAAAAGATTTTTATTTTTAATTCTCATCGGAAAATTTAAAAAATTTACGGTTGCATGGCTTATATTTTGTTTAAAAAAATGTGTCATTAATGTGCATTTTTAATTATAACGATTTTAAAACAATAATAGTAAACTTACAAAATTGAAAGGGTTTTAGTTTTGAACTCGTTCTGTTAAATCAAATTTTTAAATATAAAAAAATGCTAATATAAGCATCCATACTTCAGTTATAATAGAACCAGACGCTTCAAACTAATAGCTATGGTTGAATAAGCAAATACAGTGAAACCTGCCAAGTTGACCACCCTTGTAAATTGGGCACCTGCGTAAGTTGACCTCAATTATCAAGAACGGAATTTTTCCTATATAATAAAGAAGAAAAACCTTTGTATCTTGACCACCTGTCTATCTTGTATGTTGACCACTGAAATAAGTCAATTTTGTCTAGGAGTATTATAAAATTCTATTCTAAAACCCTGATAAGTTGACCAGAAAAAAAATTCAGAAAATTTTCTGTCATTTTTGCAATGTACGTATGTAAAAATTTCACTTGTTTGGTGAAATAGTGTAAAAAGCTAATCTAAACCCTTTTGTGAGTTGACCATCAGAGGAAACTGTAAGGGGTCAGCTTTTGACCATTCTTTCATCCGTTCATTAAAAAAAACAGGTGTGTTAGTTGAAAAGTTGCTCTTCCAGTTGCAATAGTGAGTTTTGAATAAATGAATGCTCTGAAATATGCTTCGATCCTTTATTTATAATCTTTGATCTTTAAGTGTAGTAAATAAATTTTAAAGTGTTCAGATAATTTTATTTTGTTAAAGTTTTCAAATTACATGTTTTCGTGTTCTGATATTTTAAGAAATTATATTTATTAAACACTTCACATGCATAACTAACGAAATAATTTTTAAAAAAAAAATTAGTTAAATATTAGAATTATGTGTATCAAATTGAAGTTCGTTCAGGTATAAACACATTTCTTAAGATATTCATTTGCATATTTTCTGAATAAAATTTTTAAGTCAAGTAATAAAAAAAAATTAAATATGTAGCAACATGATATAGGAAACAAAAAAGTAAACAATGACCCAACCCCTCCATAAGTTGACCACTAAAACAATCCACCACAAGTGGTCAACTTACACAAGTTTTACTGTATCCTTCCTTCGGTTTTAATTAACCCAAGTTCTGAAAACCGAAACTAAACAAAACCGAAACTATAATATATAATTGCTCGTAATCTGAATGATCTCTGGTTTTAAAACTTCAACAAACAAACAAATAAATTATGAGTAATGAATAGACGTCTTTAAGCAATATACAAAATAATATACTGGTTTACGGAAATGAAAAAATTTTAGAATTTAAATTAAGTTGCTTTTTAATGATCAACACTGATTACGCGCAATGCTAAGGTACGGCGGGAACGTCAGAAAATAATCCCTAGGACGACGCGAACGCCACTATTTGTGCGTAAAACCGGTCTGTCGAAAGCGTGTTGCTTTTCCAAAACCCCCGGGAAAAGTTAAATGTCCTTATCCCCTATTTACACCCCACCCCTATTCGAAGTGACCTTTCCTCGTAACCATAGTACCCGCCATGACGTGAGACGGGTGTCTGGAGGAGTTCTCTTGAAAGTCGCACTATACCTTCCTCGGATTCAGTGGAGCGCTATTTCTTATTTTGAGGGGAGGGGACTAAATGTGTTCGATAATGTTGTTTTTGCACTTTTAATTAATAGTTTGGGTCCCCTAATATGCATACTTTCATAGCTTCATTTTTGAAAAGGATTATCTTCAGTACCTCGGTCTACCTAAAAAGTTGGAAGCTTACTTCACTTCTAAGCTTCTATAAGAAAATTTATAGTTTAACCCTCTCTGAAACATTCACGGGCGTTTAAGTTTTCTGGGGATTCCAAAAGATGCAGAACATATAAGTTTTTTTGTAGAATTCCACATAAACTGAAGTGATTTTCCAAAAATCACGCTGTATCCACGTGCTCGAATATGTTAGTAGTTTTAAATATTATATAATTTAGTTGACGCCCGGTGGCTGAGTGGTAGCGCTTCGCGCTGTCGTGCCACAGGTCCCTGGTTCGATCCTTGGGCCGGGCAAGGCTGACTCAGCCTTTCATCCCTTAAGTGGGTCGATAAATGAGTACCAAGCATGCTTGGGAACTAAACACAGGGGGTCCGCGCTCGGCTGACCACCTAACCGGAACATCTGCTCCTGCATCCCAGAGCCCAAGGTCAAGAAAACTGAGATGGGCACAGTAGGCCTTGGCCCTCAAGGGCTGTCGCGCCGCTGAGTTTAGTTTTAAAATTTAGTTATTCTGAAAATAATATTTTTTTTCCCTTTGACTTGACTTAGTAATTTTGTGATTAGTATGAAGCTTTTAAATTTATATTTACTTAATATTTAAAAATAATGCTGTCAAAAACATGCAGGTCCACGTATGTGTACCTTGGTATGGTAAGGCGAGATTTATGACAGCATAGTAATCACGAGATATCTCATAATGAGATTTATATAAGATGTATCTAATTAGAGAGATTATATCAATTTATTAGTATTTTTATGAATACTTTAATTAATTGTTTTATGTTAAGTACACACATATATTTAATAACTTTAACTTTTTGTATGTTTACCATAATTTTGAAATTTTACGCCCAGCAATTAAATATTTTTTTATAATTAATGTTAGATTCTTCTCAATAACTATTTATTTTGCGTAGTTTGCATAATTAAAATAGTTTTGAAACTGAAATTTAATGCAGTATATATTTTTGCTTAGAAAAAACTAAAGAAATAATAAATCTATTCATCATTGTATTTAAACAGACCATAATATAACAATATGCATGCTTGTTCTCAGTTAAGTGCAACTTAACATTTGAAATACTTATATTATTTTACTTAGTTAAAACCTGCGGTGCACTTATCGTATCGTGTGCCTAAAATTATTAGCCCAGTTTAGTCATATATATTTTGTCTATATTCCCTATATATATTTTCATATATTCTCAGTATTATTCATATTTTGTTAATCTTATTATGACTTGTGGCAGTAAAATAGAAATGTATTGTTAAATTTTTTTTGCTATATTCCTTTATACTTCAGTAGTAAAGAGGTCAAATGCATAGACATTAAAAAGGCGTTCATTATGGATTACTTTGCATGGTAGTACAAAAACAATTGAGTTTGGAATATTTTTCGAAGCAAGTGATGATGAAGCCATAACGAGTCTTTGTGGTGCCGTATTTATTGATGAGTTTTTAACCCATGTTGCTATTCGATTGATTGATCCTGTAGTATTCATGTTATTTCTCATTCTTCTTATTATGTCGCAGTTGTAGGCGATGTACTGCATAGACTCTTTCTGTTAATTACGTCATTTGTGCTGTAATACATTGTAGTGATACTCAATTTAAATGATGAGCTCCTAATGTTCTCTTTCCAAATATATCCTACAGGAAATAAAGAGGCATCTTCTAGAACTAAACAATATGAAAAATCAAACCTGAACTAAACAATACTATATTCTGAGATGCTTGCAATACTTTAATAATGCAAATATTTGCATTTGATGTTACAAATATACAGGTTTTTTGTAACAATCTGCGTTCTTATTCATTTCAAATTCATCCAAATTAACTTACTTGATCTCAACCCATTTGCTGTTGTGTAATGTGAATAATATTTATTTGAATTTTGTGACTCAATAAACGTTGTATCTATCATATCTGTTATTTTGCAGACATTCGACTACGATTTCTCTGCATTTCCTAAAATCACTGCTTGGATGAATAAGATGAGAGTCGAAGTCCCGCACAAAGAGTTCCTCGAAACCCCCATGAACAAGTACAAACAAAGCAGAGAATCCCAGAAAAAGGCCTAATTATTTATTTCAATTTTATACGGAAATATGTAACCTTATACGAACAATTTTGTTTGATTGTAATACGGAACATTTACAAATTTAATAAAATTTTTAATTGCTTTTTGAAGTGTATTGTTGTTGTAATGGATATTTTTAAAACAAACCCAATATAAGTTGTTGTCCTTTAATTACAGGACTGATATCAAAAAATAGTGTGCTAATAACACACTATTTTTAACATGTTTCAAAGTAACTTTCAGCAATTGTAATGCACTTCAATAATACTTCAGAACTTAGTTGTTACAGGTCTAGTAACATCTTTTTAAAAAAAGGTTCAATAGAGCAGAAAATATTTTGGGGTATTATACAGGGGTCTGTTTAGAAGAAATTTGGGTCCGTTAACGGACCCTTCACAAAATATCTTTTCATAAAAACGGACCCTTCACAAAATATTTTAACTTAAAAACGGACCCTTCACAATATGATTTTTCCTTTAATCGGATCCTTCTCAAATTTGCTTATCTTCATTATTGTTTTGTTAATCGAATAAACCCTTCCCAGGGCAGAAAACAAGAAGGATGGGATGCAAACGAATTGAGTTTTGTCTTCTGCAGACGATTCTTCCATTATTCGTCTGAAATGAACATTCGGCGTTCAGCAGTATAGGTTAAATACCAAATATTTGTATGTTGCATNTGGTAAATATCGGCTAGTTATTAATTTGTTTTTGGTGTAAATATAATCTGAAAATAAGCCGATTCATAGCTTACTTCGCGATGAAAACTTTAAAAAAATTTGCTATTAACATTAAAAATGGTTAGTAATGAAACATATTTCTTTTTTAATGAATTCAATTATTTTATTTTGATTTGAGAAGCGCGATAGGGAGAACTTGTGCAATTTCTTATGAATGCTTATTATTGTCATAATTTGTTTAATATACTGTTATTAGGAATATGTTATATTTTCTTTTAAAAAATAACATTTCCATTTCATTGGCATTTTACTTGAAATAATTTCATACAGGCAACCGAAAGATTAAATAAAGTAATGATTGATAGGTTGTATCTAAATATTATCAGAGGTTTCAAAACTCATTACTGCTTACAAAATATACTAAGTCGCAGAAATTCTATAACTCTTCCAAAATATCTTTTCATAAAAACGGACCCTTCACAAAATATTTTAACTTAAAAACGGACCCTTCACAACATGATTTTTCTTTTAATCGGATCCTTCTCAAATTTGCTTATCTTCATTATTGTTTTGTTAATCGAATAAACCCTTCCCATGGCAAAAAACAAGAAGGATGGGATGTAAACGAATTAAGTTTTGTCTTCTGCAGACGCTTCTTCCATTATTCGTCCGGAATGAACATTCGGCGTTCAGCAGTATAGGTTAAATACCAAATATTTGTATGTTGCATCTATAATTTAGAAGCAGCAATTGCTGTTTATTTTTGAAAATTTAATTTTTTTATTATAATTTTATAATGCCGAGCCGAGTGTATCTATTTACAATTTAAAAACTCCTTGAAAAAGGTTTTTGCAATAACCGGACCCCATTTGCACAAATTCATAAAAGCGGACCCTTGTTGAAAGAATGTGAGTAATTTTTTCACAATTTCACGAAAACCGGACCTTTCACAAAATGTCTGGTCAGACCCCTGCTATATCAGACACAAAATGTACCTTTTTTGTTTGGGGGAATTCATGGGTTTCTGACCCTCAAAATTGGAATTTTTTTTTTAAGAAATGAACTTAATTCTTCGAGCAATAAAGAATAAATCAAGTAAACCGAATTTTTTTTTATAATTATTTTTAATGTCAAGTTTTTAACACAACAAATGTGTGCGATTTATCACACAACACGCAGAAAATTATAAATAATGTAACGGAATAACAAATATTAGAATATTAACAATGACCAATTCAGCAATGTTATTATTTCGATACTTAATTACTGCTAGATTGACGTCTCTTTGCTAATAAGTACTCCTTATGTTTCTTAACAGGAATTTCATTGATTTCTTCATAAGATGGGATTTCTTTCTTGAGTTTAGACATCCATGAAGATATTCTGGGGTATTTGTCAAATGAAAAATCAAGAAACTGGGAATAAAAGGGGAAAATTTTATTAAAATTTATCAAAGAACAATAAACATAATAATATGATATGAAGATATTTATAGCAATTCGTAATGTTCTAAAATAGTGGGGGAAAACAAACTATCCTTATTTTTAAGTATATAAATTTTTAATAATAAAAAAAACTATATTTGTTGAAGGGATATTTTTTAAAGTTCAACATAGAAGGTTTTAAAAATATTATAATGAAATAAATGTTTTCTAACAAATCTAAATACATGTAACTTTTCTAGCAGATCTAATTAAATGTAATTTTTCTAACAAATCAAATTAAATATATGTAACTTTTCTAACAAATCTATTTAAGTAAATGTAACTTTTCAAGCAAATCTAATTAAATAAATGGAACTTTTCTAAGAAATTTAATTAATTAAATGTAATTTTCAAAACAAATCTAATTAAATAAAATAATTTTTCTAACAAATCTAATTAAATAAATTTAACTTTTTAACAAATCTAATTAAATAAATATATTTTTTCTAACAAATCTAATTAAATAAATGCAATTATTCTAAAGATTCTAATGAAATAAATGTTTGTTTTCCAAGAAATCTAATGAAATAAATATTTTTAAAAATTCCAAATTTATAAATTTAACTTTTCTAGCAAATGTAATGAGATAAATGTAATTTTTCTTATTAATCGAACTAACGGTAAAGGAGTTTTGTAGGGGAAGTCCTGATTTATTTGTATTTCTACCAATTCACATAAATAATGAAAGACTAGAAATTATCTAACTCTAAATATTTATTGAAAAGGACAAAACACATAAAAATAAAACAAGGATAAAAAAAATACAAGAATTTGGAAGAGGGGGTTTTGGGCTCGAATTAAACATCCGTACTTAACGGCGGTTCCTGGCAGACTGTCTTAGTTCACCGCCAGAGGCGCTGTAGTGGGGGGGGGAAGAGGAGAGCTTGTTACAGTTTCCTTTTACTTACGACTTGTATGGTAGCTAGGGTTGAAATAATTGCAAAATCAGCTATGGTGATATGATTTCCAGCAACGTAAGCCGTTTTGTTCAAAAATTCATCCAACAATACCAAAGTATCTTCAAATGCTTTCATTTTTTCAGGATTTGCTGGTTCATTTCTAAACGCCATAGGTGCCTAAAAGATAATTGAAAGTAAAAAAAGTAACCAACAAATTATTCACTGTTAAAAGAATTCTTGTTGTATATGAATAAATTTATCTACACATATAAAAAAATATGTATTTTTGCCTCTAAACGTATCTTTCTATTTATTTGTAGATGAACGGCGTTTTTATCAGTTACATAACTTAATGAAGGTAAATATTTACCATTTTCGGGCAATTTAAAAACCTATTTTAACATTTTTATTAGAATTTTTTTCACGGCTTTTTATTAATTTTTAAAAAAAAATAGAATTTTTTCTTGAAATTAACATTAATGAGTCCAGTCACATTAACGTGACCACCTGTCACAAAAGCAGGACCACCTTACACATAGCGGAACGCTGCGAGATGTTAAGCTGGTTAGGATCCATGGAATGAACAACCCGATCGAGGTGATTCCACAGATTCTACATTGTATCTGTTTGGTGGCCAGGGGAGTACGGTCAACTCCTACGGTAAACTGGTGCTACTCGAACCACACACGTACACTGTAAGCTGCATGACGCGTCACATAGTCCCACTGGTTGATACTGAGGAAAAATTCATATGTAAGAGTGGACATGGTCCGTAAGAACGCGACTTGTATTTATCCTTCGTGCCTTCCACAATGAGCGAATCCAGGAAATGCTACAAAAACATTCCACACACCATAATGTTGCCTCTCCCAGCTTGGACCCCTCCGGTAACAGTTGCAGGCTGTTTGCTTTCAGACCTTTTACATCGTGTACGTTAAAGTCTATCTTTCCCATGGAGCATAACACGCAGTTCATTGGAAAAAATTCCTCTGTCACCTCTCAGTGGGCGAATTCCTGACTTCGTCACCGATGAACAGCAGTCATCATTGGTGCATAAATCATGCGTCTGCCGTGGAAGTCCATACGCAACAATATTCGCTGAACCGTTATTGAAGATACACTGCTGGTATCCCAGCCCTTGGTTTTATTTTAATTTTTAACTGTCGTTGAACAGTCGATCTGATTCCGAGTTTACGACCATTAATGTTCAACTTCGTAGTTTTGTAATTTCGAGCCCAACGCAGAAGACGAGAGATCAAGCATTTGGACAAACTACCCTTTAAATTACGGAAACATCCAATGTTAACTCGACGGCAAAGGGATTCTAACCTGTGATCTATCCACCACTGAGGATATTTTACGTCAGCACTGTCGTCAGTGCGAGCCGGGAGCAGAATTCGTATCAATCAGTCACTGCTGGGATTCGAACCTGTCTCACCTCATTCAGAGGCGAACGTTCTATCTCTTGAGCCACCACGGCTCAAGTCCCTTGGTTCATCTGGACGGTCAGTTGTTCAACAGTTGCACGTCTATTCGTCCGAACGCATCTCCGCAACCATTATGCACCTCCGATATCTACGGCTTGTGGTGAACCACATTTGCTACGTTGCTGATTTTGGATGGTGTCATTTTGCCGTGGCTGGCATACTTTTACTATGGAAGGCGAACAGTTCGTAAAATTAGAAGCTTTGCCTCAGCTCGAAGGCGTGTGATCATGCCCTTTTGGATGTCGGATAAATCACTCCGTCTCTGCCTTAGGTCAACGACTGCAATGTTTTCTGATGCTGGGAATAGGTGGTATCTCGGCCTATGGCGCGAAGCTCCACTGACCGATTCATCGAAACTTTCATGTCATATATTGAAAAGTCATGAGATCTCCATTGTCAAGAAAGGAAATCATAGCACAGGCTATGCATCAAGGCATAGAAATGTTTGCACTTTAGAATAAACATAAGATCATGATAAAACATAGTATTCGTGAAAGTAAAATCACATAGTTAGGAAAATCTAAAAAATGGTAATAAAATCAAATAAATTATACACAATAAATAAATATATACAGGAATATAGACAAATTAAAGTGTGCCCCTCTTAATATAGTGACCCGGCCGTCCCGGTAGTACCTGTCGAGGCCGGATTGGTCACTATTCGATATTTAGCAGTTCTGTGGCTCGCCCCGATCGGACCCTGCTGGAGGGCTGCTCCTTCATCAGGTCTGCCACAGTCCTGGTATGTAAAAGAGTTTTTTACCTAAAATGCTTAGACAGAAGGCCGTCAGGTGTTAAAAAGGCTATTATTGGACTATAATTAGCCTTATCGTTGATAATTTCTTTTTTAAATAAATGATTGAAATCGGAGGTAGTGCAGCCTTTGTCGTCACTGTAGAATTGGGAGTTGAGCTTCGCCATGAAAAAGTCAATGTCTTCGATTTTTAAATCATATGTTTGAGCGATTTATTGCTAATAAGTTGTGGGTCTCCTAGCATCATTCTTATTAGTTTACTTTAAAAGTTCTAAAGTTTATTCCTTAGGTTATCACTTAGTGTGGTAAGTGTCAATGTCAACCGTCATCTATGAAAAGGTACCCCATCGTAAAAGAGAGTTAACACGTCTTATAGACTAGTAAATTGTAATTGTAATTTTGTAGTGGTAGATATCCTACACGCTCTACTGCCACCTGCCTTCTGTGATTGGTTATCTCACGTTGACGAAGAAAGTAGGTGGTGATCACATTAATGTGACTGGACTATGCTTTGTAAGAGTTTAAATGCATATTTTATTTATAAATGTTAGTTGTATACTTAACAATTTTTGAACCCATTTTTTCCAACCAATTTTTGGCTGAAGGCAGACTGAATATATCTGCAATTGTGCTGCGATTCTCAGGTGTACTGCAAATGTTTGACTATTTTATGTAACCTAGCTGCATTTAGAATAGGGAATACCTGCTAAAATAATTATATTTTTTGCATCATAAAATATTCTTCAACGTATACCATTAATTTAAATTCTGTACTAGAAATTCGAAAAATTTAACGTAACAACGTAAAAACCAGAGTTGGCCGTTGATTACAGCAATCGATTACAACTGTAATTGATTACAGATAATTACAGCTATGTAATCAATTACTTGTAATCACGATTACAAGTAATCAATTACTTGTAATCGTGATTACAACTTTCAAAAAATTTTGATTACAGCTGTAATCATGATTACAATTTTGATTACAGTAATCAATTA